AGGTTAACTCACCATGGTTTACAGTATCTCCAGGACAGCAGGCTCTCTTTCTTCTGTGATGCCCCAGACACTCCAACACCCTACAGACCTAGGGAAATGGCATTTCACGGTAGCATTGGACTGTGCACGTGGTTTTAATGGCTGCAAATGGGACAATTATGTTTTTAGCAGATGGGTCCCCCTTTGAAGAAAGGAAATACAAGGCAATTATATTGATACATGTCTCCCAGGGCTTGACTGACTCACCTGAAAGGGGGGCAATTCCCCTTGAAACCTCTCATCGCTTCTTGGTCTTTATGGTTGAAGAAGCACAACTTTTACAACTGTCAAGGCCTACTGCTCCCCTGACCACCATCCTCTTCCCCCAGTGGGGTTGCACACCAATGACCAGGACTGTTTCAAGAGTGCCCCTGATTCTCAGGTCACCTTTGATCTCTCTTAAACTAACCTGCCCCCCAAATGGGTTCTTCTTGCCAAGAAAGGGTTGACAGTGGAAGAGTGCATTCTTGTTACAGTCCTGACTGGTGTCATGAGAAACGTTTTTTCATGATTTTAGCAATAAAAAGAAGGCGATTTAACCCCAAACTCTCTTCTTTCCTGATTTTGTTTTAAACAACACACTTTAACATTTTAAAATAATTTAAACAGGTGTCCAGTAACAGAATGACAAACGTTAAGTGTGAAACCTGAAAATTAGGAAACTGAACCACATATGGTCTTTTTTTTTTTTTTTTTAACATCCGCCTGCGCTGGACTGGTAAGTGGTCTCATCACTGTCAGGCCAAGCAGGACTTGTAAAACCTGGGAGGTGGGCTTTCAAAGTAACATTTGCTTGGTGCCTTTAATGATTTTTGTAATTAGTCATTTAAACAGATTGCCCTGTGATCCAAAACTGGGAATGCAGGGAGATGCGCTGAGAAAGTCATTTCCTAAAGATGTTTTAAAGCTAATTGCAGAAAATGAGGCTTGTCTCTTCGCAGGATTTTCTGGCTCATGTTTCATTGGGTGGGAATGGAGCTGGAGAGCCACATTCTCCAACAATCTATAAAATGTATATGCCCAGAAGGCATTCTTTCTGACACCAGAGAGCTAAAGGCCTTTGTTGCCTAGCAAAATTTAACAGATAAGTAAGTGATCCAAATATGCAATGACAATTTAGACACCAGAGGGAGGGAAACTAAGGAAGTGATCTTTCACAGGAACAGGGTAAGAGTTCTGGGAGATCCATGACTCTGCCATCATTGAATTAGACAGTTATACTTTGTTAATGCACGTTGAGTGACTAATTCAGCTTTCACTTCAGAGATAAAAGTAGAATTTTTCAGAGCATGTCAAAAAGGGACTCAACTGCTTTAATGAATCCATGACTCCCTCACTAGGTAGCAGCCTCTCAGAACCTGCCTTGTTCTCAGCAAGCCTCAGTTGCTCCAGGTGAGAGAAAGGGCTATTTAATTCTCACCAATAATTATATTACTCTCTTATGAGAGTTCTGTTGATGTCTCAAGACCTTTTTAAAAGTTTGGATGATATAAATCTCTGTGTTTCTGCACACATACATACATACACACTAACTTTGTTTATAATAAGAAATAATAGTTAACAGTTCCTAAGTGCTAACTACATGCTATGCACAAGTCCAATCTCTTTAAGTGGCCTAATGTATTAAATTCTCAGACCTTTGAACAGAGAGGTTTTGCTAATCAGGAAACAGAGAGACAGAGCATTTAGGTAACTAGCTCAAGGTCGCAGAGCTAATAAAGGGAGGAGCTAAGATTCAAACACAGGCAACCTAACTACTGAACTGATGTTCAAAGTACAAACCTTCTTTCCTTCATGTCCTTCAACATTCCCATTCCCCATCTGTAACCAAACATATGGAACACATAAATTTCTCTCGTGGGCCTTAACATCACCACAGAGCCTGAGATAAATGTTGATTGGGTGCTGGATGACAGGGAAGCATATTGCGATGGAGGGTGGCAGTAAAGTTGGTTGATTTCATACCCTGAAAAATAAAGACATGAAAGATCATTCATGTTTTGATGGCCGGAGAGAATAGAATGCCATGAAGTAAAGAATTCTGACCATGCCAAGCAAGGGCAAAGGGAGAAGCCAACCTTCAAAACTGATGTCTGGTACATAAAGTCCCTTGGTGGCATCTGCTCCATTGCAGATTGTCTTGTGTTTTAAAATCCCCATTGCAGATTGTCTTGTGTTTTATCACAGAAACATCTACCATCCAGAGTTTTCCATCTAGCCAACTAAAGGAGTAGAATTTCATGGAAATAGCAGAAATGTTGCTTGGGGTAGTTCCTTTAGTTGATGCGCAAATCTCCCTTCCTTATGATTACCTGGCGTTCAGTGTGTTCCTGACGTGAAATTATAGACAGTCATTGTTTCCAAAAGAAAGCAGGGCAAAGAATTACACCAGAACATGTGTGTTTGCAAGGTCATCTGGTCTTTAGGGCTCTGTCCAGCACAAAATATGGAAAACCAAAACCATTCAGTGGCTCTTGGGACAGGAGAAATGATTTGGGGTGAACTGTCCTTTCTGCTTTGAGAGCCATATGAGGCAGGAGACATTAAGAACTTGAGCAGCTCTAATTCTGGTTGCCTAATGCACGGTGCTTACTGAGGTGGCGGACAAGTCTATTTGCCTCCACTGAGCAGGGCGAGCTGTCAGCAGAATGCTAAGTAGCTGTTTCAGCGGCGCTGATTGATTCGCAGAGATGGCACAGATGTGACCTCCTCAGTCAAAGTCAATGTTTTCTTGGCCTTCAGAATTTCAGAAAAATACAAATGCAAATGAAAAGTAATGACAAGGCCCACATATCGCCCCAGAGTCATTGCCTCAATAATTACTAATGCCTGCTAGGCTTCCAGCATCCTGCTAGGTGCTGACAATGACATAAAAATCATCGAAGACATAACTCCTGTTCTCTACAACATTAATAATGATAAAGTAGCAAAAGTTATGTAGTTTTAAAGATCACAGAGTTTAAAATTTATTTTGCCTCCTATATTCTGCTTCTTAAATTAAACGTAAGCATGGCTTGCATGTAACCTTTTTAATCTAGAATGCCCTGTTCTTTATTCACCTGGAGGACCTCCACATATCGTACAAAGTCCAGCATGACCGTCACCTCGATGGCATGAAGCCCCAGTGGCCATGCCCACACTGCGGTCCTCATCACTGTCTCTGTGCTCCCTTTAGACCCCCACCCATACCACTGCACTCAAGAGGTTATTGTAAGTATCTGAGTGTGTGTCTGAATCCCCCATCCAGTGGGGGACCACCTTTGGTTGAGGTTCTTCTAGGTTCAGGCTATTCTTTAGAATCATCTCTGGCCATGTTTAAAAAGATACAGAAATTCAGGCTCCAAACCAGACCCATTGGCTCAGGATTTCCAGGGTATAGACCTGCACGTCTTTATTTTAGTTTACTCTCCACAGGTGATGTTGACTTACAGTCAGGGCGGAGAAGCACTCACTGTGCCTGGTTTCTTTTTATAGCTCCAATGCCAGGAACAATGTGTAGCACACAGCAGGTGCTCAGATCATGCTTGTGGACTGAATGACTTACTCACATCCACTTGATGTCTCTTGGTAGGTAAATATCTAAATTATACGTGGCACCAACTTGCTGGGTCAACACAGATGTTTTTGTAGGCTGTCCTTGAAGATGTCTGGGTTTCTACAGCTACATTCTCTGGTTGGGCCCTGGGCTTTAGTACTCAGATGAAGGCAGTAATCTGCAGTGGAAATATTTTCCTTTGAACAGTAATTGTATGAAGTTTTGCAGTAAACAAGATAGAATTTAAAGATAGAAGGGATTTATTGCCCAAACGTGACAAGGAAATAAAGACTAGTTATAAAAGACCTCTCTGTATATTCATACACATGTCCAAGTTCAGACTAGAAAAAAATCCCAAGAAGTTATCTCTTCTAAGGTCTATGATCAAGTTTCTAACTACCCAGTGGACACTTACACATTCAGATAACATACTCAAAAATGGACCTTACTGTCCTTCCTAAACAGCTCCTCCACCTTGAAGGAATAAATAAATAACATATTTAAGTTACTTAACCTGTATGAGCCTTATGCCCTTATCTGTACAGTGATGCGATTAACTACAACTTCTCAAAGGTATCGTTAGAACGAAGTGAGGTGATAAATGTCCCAGTGCTCCATAAATATTATTCATGACCTGGGAGTTCTTATCTTAATTCTTTGACTAAATTGTTTTCCTTGTGACTTGGGAAAAGAACTCTGCCTCTCTCCGTCTCCTCATTTTCCTTGATTAATAGGTCCTAACATATGAAAACACTCAAAAAGCAGTAATTTCATAATTTTTTAATTGGTCCAGGATTTTTATACAGAGAAGTAAAGTATAATTCAATAGTTTCAGACATATTACAGCATAACTTGTAAGCAAGGTGGAGAGAAGGCATTTCTACCCCATTTAGTGAATTGTGATGCGATAGACAGTGATTCAAAAGAATTGCCCCAAATCCTATTACGACTTGGTGGGAAAGTCAAGCTCCTATGGGTGTTAGGCCTCCAGATTCTCTCTTACCCTTGACTTGGCTCTTCTTACTTTCACTTCTCCAGTTTTGGGAAATTCCTGTGACTCTTTTCCTTGCCCCAGACTTCTGAGCAGACCCCACCCACTCACCCTTGGGTTGCGCTAGTGAAGGCCAGTGAACTTTTTATTGCCTGTGGTTACAAACAGCTGTTACCTCAGCCCCAGTCAGGAGTGGCCTGCGCGTGTGTTCCTGACACCGAATACAGTTACTGATGCTAATCGGTATTGACTGGTGAACCTAAATGCATCTCATTCGCGGCGGATAGAGCTAAATAAAGAAGTATAAAATGTTCATGGTACTGTATCACCAATTTCTCAAACTTCTTCCTTTGGTTCCTTATTTCTTATGTTCCAGAAACTGCAGAGCATCCGGTAGTGACCTGTCAAACTGGGGGAGCTGGCAGAGTGACTGAACTAGTCTTGGGGGTCTTCGCAGAAAAGGCAGTCGGGGTCCTGGTCGGCTGGCGATTCCATCTGAATGGTGAGTGAGTGCACAGGGAAGCTCTTGCTGAGGGCTTCGGCAATCTCTCTCTGAACGCCCTGGCTGTTCCTGCTGGCCGCTGTCAAAAAGGAGCCACAGTGAGACGGGCACTGATTGCACAGGCGACTACTGAGCTCCAGCTTCAAGTGCTTTGCGGGGTGGGGCACGGGCCACGCACTCAGAAGGAGCCAGACGGGCTCTACAATCAGCTACATCCACACAGACAAGCCGGGGTGGGGGTGACCCTAGCGCAGCAAAGTACCCCGGCACTAGGAGAGCTCGTCTTCATAGTTCTCTCTGGGTTTGGCGCTCCTAGGAGCTGAGTACAAAAGGGAAAATGAGCCCTGGAAAAAGCCAAGACAGAGCTGTTATTTCTTATACAGCCTTGCTTACCAGTCCCCGAGGACCTCTGGGTTGCAGCCCTTATATCTAATCAGAATCCACATCAAGGCTAGTGACAGGAGGCAGGGAGCACTTAGAGCTCCCCATAGACCTTTCTTAGAGCAGCGACTGTCATCCCATCTTTTCTCTTGTCCCCAAAGGTTCAGGAGGCTGTAAAGTTCCCTCCATAGTAACCTGATTACTAGGTTCTTCCATTTGCAATAAAATATTGGTGTTGTGGATGCTGTAAATTCCCTGTAGCCAGATCTGAGCCTCTCAGCGAAGATGGGGATGTCTGGGAAAGCAAGCCCTCAAATGACTGTCAGCGCTGTGCCTGCGCCCGGCCTCCAAGTTACTTCTTGAGTTACTTTCTTAGCAGCCGAATGTATCTTACTTGGCCTGAGCTGTCTCCTGAGGCAGTGAGACGCCTCCCACTGCCCTGTTTCTCAGCCCGAGGACATATGGACAAAATCACCTTGTACTTGAGAAAGTAATTTTTAGAATAAATCCAACTTCCTAAGAACTGTCTCAGATGGTTACAGAATGTCTAACCATCCAGTAAAAAAATAAGAATAATAATTAATTTTTACTAGCAAGGTTTTTAGGTTGTTAGAACCTTCAGGACAGAACCTGTGTATCCTTCATCTTTCCGTCTTCGGTGTTAGGCAAAGCATCTCATATACAGGCGATACTCAGTGAAGATTATTGTTGAAATCATCCCTATTATTTAACTGTTTGAGTACCAAGTCAAACAGGTGAACTCTAATTTTCAGAGCCTAAGGTCTTGACGTTTGGGTGGCATTTTCACCCCTTTGTTCTACTCTCTACCCCCTTCAGTGCTCAACAGATGGCACACTGTTGGTTTTCAAAGGCCCTTGGTAACACAAAACACTTCACAGTTGCTTAGACAGGCAACAGACACTAAGGGCAGCTCTACAAAGAGGAGGGAAATTACTGACTTTCCACAGCAAGCACTGAATTTTGTCCAGGGTGTTTACCAAACTCACTGACCTGCAGCAACATGAGCCGAGAGAATCACCTGGTTTGTTGTTAGAGACCAGATGTGCAAGCTGTGCACAGACACCACGCCGTCCACGGCTAAGATGAGCTCTTTCACGGCGTTGTAGCTGAGGTTCTTTGGCACACCTGCCAAAAGGAAAGAGTGGGAAGCTATCGTTATTGAGCTGAATATAGCTCATCGAGATGGCCAGTTGGGACTGCAAAGGCCTCACCCATGTAGCCACTTGTGCTACATTTATTTATGGTTTCTTATCTCAAATGTATATAAATCAGATTCCCTGATTGCAAAGGATTTGCCATCTATCAAAAGTTAACGCCAAATATTTGCAGATTTTACTGTGCAGTCATCAACAGCAGTGATCATCCTTCATTTCTAGGGTGTATTATTAATTCAGTTGTGCTTTTCCCAGTGATCTTTGCATACATTCTGGAAGCAAAATGAAATAAGGTGGGATTTGGTATCCGGTAATCCCGGGTTAGCATTCTGGCTACTCTTTTGAATTTACCCAAATCTTGGAACTTCTCTGATTTTTAGCACCGTAATAAAATAGGGGTGATAAGAACACGATGTAGTTCAGAGTTCGTTGAGGAGCATATCAGAAAACAACTGCCCTTTGTAAACTGGAATGCTGTGCAAATGTTGGTTTTCCAACAGGTCACTTGCGTGAATTGCATGAGGAGGCGATCCTAACATTGTAATGCCATTTTATTATTCGGTTTGTAACGTTTTTATTACTTTAGATGCATTAGCGAGGGCTTAATGTTGTGTCATAGAATGTAATAGTTTGGCTGCCATCCATGTTTCTAACGGAACAGTGCAGGGCACACAGGAAGGTGGGGGGCCCGGCACGCAGGCAGCCAGTGAGCCCTTCTCTGGGGCTGAAGGAACCGGGGTGTCTCTCGCCTGGAGAAGAGTAGGCTAAGGAAGCAGGATTGATTTTTTCAAACATTGCAAGGATTGTCATGTAGAAGACTAGAAGGTGTGAAAATGTGAAGTTGTTTGCATTGGCCAGCTACAGAGGAGCCAATGGTTGGTCAGAATCACAAAAGATATCAGTTCAATATGAGGATAACAAACTGACATATCTCAGAGGCGAGGGGCCTGGGGACATGGGAGAGATTAGCCAAAGAATTTATATACTTATATGCATAGCCAGTGGACACAGACAGTAGTGTGGGGAAGGCCTGGGGTGGGGAAGGGGCTGGGAGCAGGGGGGCAAAGGTTGGGGGGGAATTGGGGGACATCTGTAATACTGTCGACAATAATATATACCAGATAATAATACCAGATATTAGAAAACAAACAAAAAAATTGTTTCTCAAGCTTGGCTACATGTTAGAAAACATCAAAGTCAGTCCCCAGCCCAGTCAATTATATCAAAATCTCTGGATGTGGAGCCTGGAGCCTGGGCATAAGTATTTTTAAAAAGTTTCCCAGATTGCCATGAGCAGCTAGTTGAGAAGCATTTACTTAAAAAAAAAAAAAAAAAAGGGCATCCTTAACTCCCCTTTTTGGGGATTAAAGAACCTTGCTCAGGGGGATTTTTCTCTTTAGGGCTAATTTAAAATTCTCTACAGTCTGAGTTTAGTTTAATCCCATTTCATATTGTTTCACAGAGGTAACAAAGAGCTGGTCAACAGGCACTTTCATTGAATGAGCTGCACAAAGCTCAGGAGGGCAGAAACAAATTAAAGGAGTTTTTGTCTCAGATTAGCCATAGAATGAATGTGCATGGAGCCATGGGTGAAGCTGTTATACTGTAGTAATAATAATAATAGCATAGCTTTATTGAGAACCTACCATAGGTCAACGTTTGTGGTAAGCGCTTTGTTTATAGTGAATATCTTATTTTATTACTTACAAGAACTTTAAGAGCTTGTTATCAATGTTACAGTTCCTGTTTAACTGGAGGAGAGGAAACTGGGAGACAGAGAGGTTAAAATCCACTGCTAAGGCCCCATAGAAAAGTGGGATGTGAGAGTCTGAAGTCTGTGGTCTGAGTGTGAAGTGTTAAGCAAATGCTAGACTCTAGGTATTGCAAAGCTGACTATCATTCCTAGTGTGTCATCTCTGCGGAATTTCATGTGACTCTTGGAAGACCTGCTATCATTCATCTAGGACCCTTGAGATGAAGTCATGATCCCATTGCTTTTTGTCTCTCTTGCCTCATTTATCTCTTTACATTTATGGAGAACACAAGTCCACTATTACTTATTTTAGTCTATGAAATAATGTCGACAAGCACAAGGCTATGCCTCCACTGACCTCAATGCTCCATCACATTCTAGAAACCATTTTTTTCCCCTGAGGGAGAGCCTGCAAAAAAATGCATCCGGGAAAATATTCAAATTGGTGTTTAAAAGTTAATTTCCCAGATTAATAAATATATGAAAAAAAGTCACTTAACATCACTCATTTAAAGAATTCCATATGAAGTCACTAAGAGAAAATATTTCACCTATCAGATTAGAAAAGAATCAGCAGTTTGATACTACCCAATGATGGTGAACATGTGAGGAAATGGGCACTGTCATATTCTATTGGCCAAAAAGAAATGACATAGTATCTTTGGTAGAAACGGCAATATCTGTCAAATTTTTAAATGCACAGAACTTTTGAAACAGAAATAACATTTCTAGGATTTATTCCACAGATATACAAATGCTAAAAATATATATGCACACGAATGTTAACTATACCATTGTTTATAATGCCCATCAACAAGCAGGTGCATTCATACAGTGGAATACTTTATAGCTATGTGAAAGAATGGGGTGTTTCTATGTATGTACTAATATGGAAAGATCTCCAGGTGAAAAAAACAAGTGCCGAACAAAATAAGTGTCAATCCAGAATCCCATTTGTTTAAAAATACATACATACACACACACTATACATATATTACGTATATGGTATGCATGTTATATATACATACATATTTATATAACATGTACATATATATAAATGCATAGTTATCTTTTGAAAGATATATGTCGACTTATTAGTAGGTGTTATCCCTGATGAATGGGACTGAGAATGCAAAGGTGAAAAAATGGGGAAACTTTTTCAATTCATTTTCTATCATTGCATATTATTTTAAAATTTTACCAAAGATAAGTATTCTTTTACACTAACCTAATTTGAAAGCCTAGTTCAGAAATTAAGTATCTACCAGATAGGAGTTATCTGACAGTTTCAATAATTAGCTGTCCTTTCTTTAAATAAAATAAGAGAGAGAATCGCCAGAAAAGATCTATACTGAGAGACAGGGAAAGTGGATACAGTCGTCTCAAATTGTGCACCATTTGTCTTTACCCCCCTTTAAGCCAGTAGGTGCCATACCAGCAACTACAGGTGCAGCTCAGCACTTAGCCCTCAGGAAAGGAAATGGGTGCATTTGTCACTTGACAAACCAAATACTGTCACCTCCAGAATGAGGACGTTTGCCTGTTACTCAGTGACGTTTGACTGCATTTTGTTTCACTATTGTCAACATTATCATCTGCCAACCATTAAAGTGCCCACTGAGAACAGAACCCCTACATGTAGCCTTGGCAGGGAACACTAAGCAACGGTGCGCTGTTTTGAAGGCAACTGCCCTCTGAGACTGTGTCTACCTTCTATCAAAATGTGCTAGACCACAAAAAGAAAAGGTCAGCCAATATCTGGTTATTTCTGATGATCTGAATGTTTGCTCTGATGTAAACCTCTGGTTCTGATAGAATTTTCTGGCTGCTGTTCCCAGCACCCTCCTGTAGGAATCTCTTAAGAGGTATGAAAAGATTAGTCCGGTGGTTCTCAAAGTGTGGTCCCCAGCCCAGCAGCATCAGCATCTTGTTAGAAATCCAAATTCTTGGGCCCCCACCAGACCTGCTGTCTCAGGAACAGTGTAGTGGGCCCAGCAATCTGTGTTTCAACAAACCCTCCGCGTGATTCGGATGCCACTCAGGTTGGAACACTGCAGGCCTAGTTTAGCAAGGGTTTTATGCAAGCCCTTCAGAATAGCGACAACACTGCCTGAAGGACAGATTTATGCCATCTTTCTTGGGTCTTGTCCATACATTTAGGGAAACTAAGATCTTTACAATAACTTCCTCCATGTCTATCTTTAGTGTTTGTCCATGTTGTTTTTACACTGAGCCATATCATTTAATGGTTGCTGAAGGAAAAATAGAAGCCAATAGTTTTGATTTGTTCCCATATGAAAGAAAATCATAATATTTGTTTTCCCCAAAATTCCTTATCAGTGTAAGTGTTCTTTCTCTATGATGCATATTAACCGTGAGCGTGTGTTGAGGCCACTCCCTTTTGTGGTCACAGGGAGGAGAAAACATGGATCCTACGGACACTAATTAAATCACTCCTACCTTCCAAGAGTAAGATGGAGAAGTCCTTTAAGACAGTGACGGTGCTGGCCAAAACCAGGACAGAAAAGACAAACGTGCAGATCGGATCGGCCATTTTATAGTCTGGCTGGAAAATACATGGGCTTTGGTTAACTGAATTTGTGGCTCCTTTGCAGAAAGTCTGATGAATAATAAAAGTAAAGCTCCCTCTTGCCTCCCCTCTGCATCACCCTTTCACATACACCCCCCAACACTTGACCCTAACTCAGAGGCAGTGCTTTCTGAAGACTCAATCTTTCTCTTAAGCTTTAAACGACCAGTGACGGAAGAGCAGAGACTACAGGACATGCTCTCCCATCATTTGAGAAGTAAAGGGAAAGATATGCTTGAGTGTCTTCTCAAGAGGCCTGATTTAGCTTCTCTGAAACTAACAGAAGTACAGAGTATGCGATGAGCTGATTTCACAATGCTCAGTGACTTTTCAACCTTAATTATGATGAGAGGAAAGCCTGTCATCTGCTCAGATGTTGCATACGACCAAGGCACAGCTGGAGCTTGGTCTTGGCAGACTGGGGTAGTTTGTTTCTTCGCCTCCCAAGTTTGATTCCATCCTGAGAGTACAGCTGGGGCGTCCCTCTTGCCTCTCTCACCGCTGGAGCCCTTAGCCTCAGGGTGACACACCTGCTACTCTGCCTCTGATGCAGTTTTGGGCCACACAGACGTCTGCCTCTTTATCTCTAAGAAACTCGGCAGCCACCTCACCTTGTAAGCATGCTCTCAAACTTGACTCACCCCTACAGTTTTGAACTGTTTTGCCTTACATTTAAAGCTTTCAGTGAGCATTTTCTCGATTGAATTCAGATATGTTTTTGCAACTTGTATTTACATATTTTTTATTTTTTTTAGTAAAAATAATGTAGAGTCCCTGCTAACTGGGCAACCATGGTATGAACAGAGATAAATTAACTTCTCTATCACCACCTACCTCCACTCTAACCCACCCCTGTTGGTTCTCAGTACTACCAAATAGAGATCTGCAGTGAATATTTCCTTAGGGTCAGAGGCCCACCCAGATCCATTCCCATTTTTCATTAACACTCTGGCTTTTTGGAGAGAAGTTATTTCTCCCCCACTGTGGGTGATATTGGTGGGACCGTCATTCAGGTGTTCTACCTTCCCCCAGCCAAGCAGCAGGTACAAGACCCAAGCTAGGTCAATTAGACTCCCTTTCCCCAAAATATAAATCTTCAGCATAATGACAAGAAATGGAAAAAGAGAGCCGAGTCATATTTCAGCTTGGCATCTGGGATAGACGTTTGATAGTTTCTGAAATCTAGATACCAAAAGTCACCCTTATGTGTACCTTGATTTCTGTCTGGGAGTACATCCAATGAATTTCAGCCAATACATTTTTTTTTTTTTTTTTTTTTTTTTTTTTTTTTNCTCACCCCTACAGTTTTGAACTGTTTTGCCTTACATTTAAAGCTTTCAGTGAGCATTTTCTCGATTGAATTCAGATATGTTTTTGCAACTTGTATTTACATATTTTTTATTTTTTTTAGTAAAAATAATGTAGAGTCCCTGCTAACTGGGCAACCATGGTATGAACAGAGATAAATTAACTTCTCTATCACCACCTACCTCCACTCTAACCCACCCCTGTTGGTTCTCAGTACTACCAAATAGAGATCTGCAGTGAATATTTCCTTAGGGTCAGAGGCCCACCCAGATCCATTCCCATTTTTCATTAACACTCTGGCTTTTTGGAGAGAAGTTATTTCTCCCCCACTGTGGGTGATATTGGTGGGACCGTCATTCAGGTGTTCTACCTTCCCCCAGCCAAGCAGCAGGTACAAGACCCAAGCTAGGTCAATTAGACTCCCTTTCCCCAAAATATAAATCTTCAGCATAATGACAAGAAATGGAAAAAGAGAGCCGAGTCATATTTCAGCTTGGCATCTGGGATAGACGTTTGATAGTTTCTGAAATCTAGATACCAAAAGTCACCCTTATGTGTACCTTGATTTCTGTCTGGGAGTACATCCAATGAATTTCAGCCAATACATTTTTTTTTTTTTTTTTTTTTTTTTTGCTTAAGTGAGCTAGAGATTTTTTTTCTGTTGCTTACAACCCAAGATCCCGAAGGTATGCATGGTTCCATGGTAGTCCATATTGATCCCACGACAAAAATAACTACTTTCCTGAAAGACAATAAGCCCTGTAGTGAAAGAATAGCTCTCAGGAATTTGGAAAGTCTGAGTTTTCAGGCTTTGAATGTTTGCTTGTTTGTTTTAAACTTGAACAGTAGTTTGTTTAGGCAAACATAACCTGTCCACCCTCGTTTAAGTTAATTTTGGAGGATCCACTTCTGTACTACTTGATCTATAAAATTACTATGAGAGTGAATTAAATCGAGCATACTCACCTTAAAGTAGATAATAAGTGCACTGGTTAACACACTGATGCTCTGAAATAGATCTCCAAGGGCGTGCACAAAAGCTGCTCTGACACTGGCGTTAGCCTGCACTTCCCTGTGATTGTGGCCAGGGCGCCTCTCGTGCAAAATCACACTTATTCTGAACAAGAGAAGAATGTTCTCAGCACACACATGAGATTAACCCTTAAAAACCTACACAGCTTAATGGAAGAGCTGGCGGTAGTTTACATTATCCCAGTTGACAGATAATTGAAATATCAATGTTTCAAGACATACTATTTTGGACTAATTTTGAACACAAGTGGATCATAGCATTTCAAACTTTTCATACAAGGGCAGACAATGAAGATTGGCCCCAGTTTTCCTGTACCCTGTCCATCTACCTAATGCTCCTGTTTCACATGAAAACTGGAAAGCATCACTTCCCTGACGAAAGCCAAGTGTTTGACAGTGAAGAAGGAAAATATCATTTCTTGAGGGTCTACTGAATGGCAGGCGCGGATCCATGCTTAAAGCTGAGCTTTGGTGGGAGCTTGATTGAATGTCATGGTTTCAAATGCAAAAAGCAGCAGAAAGGGGTCAAACAAAATAAGTAGGGAATTTCATCAGCGTTGGATCTTTTAAATCTTTTATTTTACTTAGTTTTGTTCATTTACACGAGAATTTGAAGTCTGAATAATTTTCTAATGGCCAGTGATGAGCATACTGTGCTTATGTCTATGTAGCTATTTATCCAGAGACGGAAATATATTAAAATGTTATAAATGTGTGTATATACATATACATATATATTGCAAAATTTAACATTTCCCATCTAATCAAAGAGTTAAGTAGTAGCCATTATAAATTATGTGCCTGATTCTATGTATCTGCAACTTCAAGAGGTATTAGACCAAAGGTAAAATGAGAACTTTTTTACTGAGGCCCAACAAGGAATGTTTGGCCTAGAAACTTTTTTTGTACATTTCGTAACAAAGTTTAAAAAATTATTGTTTGGTACCATGTACCCTTATTTTCAGAAAAGCGTCCATCAGAGTCGGCCATTATCACAAAGTGAATTGACTGCTGTCCACCGGGATTTGATTATTACATAATGTACACATTTTAGATTGTCAGTGTTTGGGAGGAAATTCACCCTCAATGAGGAGTTACTATTTCAGGGTCTTCAGACAGCTTTCCATGGCAGGCAGTTAAGAGACTCTCTTTCTAGCTCTGCTATGTGTGCTCATCACATTATCTTTCATTCTTTCATTCATTTTATTTAAAAACAACAACAACAAAACTTACTTAGGAACCCGTGTATGCTAAGCATTGTTAAATGTTTGGGGCATAAAAGCAAGTGAGACAGACATGGTCCCTCCCCACTGTGGCTTTAAGTATGAAGGAGATGCAGAGAATTTGAAGACACACACATACATGGGAAATTCTAATTATAAAAAGTCTACTAAGAACTGGTGCTACAGAGAGTCTGATTTAGTTAGCAAGACAAAGCAGCTGAGTTGGATTTGGAAGGTTAAAGTTAAATAAGCTAGTAGGGGAGAGAATGTCCGGGCAGAGAACATTTAGCATGCAATAGCCATAAGGCTCTGTCAATAATTTGCGTCCTAGAATCCCTCTGCAACCTCTATTACAACTCTCTGTCCTGATTTTGAGTCCCCAGGGAACAGATTTATTCCCAAATTGTGGTTCTGATATCTCTATTCAGACAACACAGCCTCTAGCTGCACTGGAAGCCCATAATCCCAGTTCTGGAAGAAAACATTATAGTCACTCCGTATCTTTATCCGTTAATAACCACCTGCTTGCACAGGGAAGTCAAGGCTTTTCAATTCCCTTGTCTTTCTGAGCACCTGAAAACTAAGGTCAAAATTCAAAGCAGTTGCAGTAAAAAGAAAATGGGGATGGTATCTGTTTAAAAGTCAAGCTCAACCATGGAAGTCCAGATTTCTGTGGTAGTTAACTGGGGGTTCCCGCCGTCTTCGTGGAGCATCGACACCCCCTGTGTGACACGTGACTCGGGAAATTATTTTTTTCTCCCTGCTGCCTTGTGGACATGATGTTATTGACCCCCGGTTGGCAGGACGTGTGCTCTGGCTTGTCTCCTAGTGGTGACAGGTTGGGATTGTCCCAGGGCCGACGTGAGATCACCACCCTTCTGTCACTGGCCCCTCACTTTCCTGTATGGACCTGGTGCCATGTATCACTCTGCGTTGCAAGGCAGACAAGCGGATGGCGCATAGATAGCATTGAGTTTCCTGTTGCTCCTGCAGCGAATCGCCACAAGCCTTTCTAGCTTAGAGCAACATAAATGTATCATCTTATAGTTCTGGAGGTCAGAAATCTGACGAGTGTCAGGACTGCGTTCCTTCTGGAGGTTCGAGGGAGGATGCATTTTCTTGCCTTTCCAGTGTCTGGATGTCGCTCACATTCCTTGACCCCAGGTCCCATCCTCCACCCTCAAAGCCAGCAATGCAGCATCTTCTCTCCTGTCTGACCCGATGCTTCCTTTTATAAGACTTCTGTGGTTACATTGGGCCTATCTGGATAATCCAGAATAATCTCCCATGTCAAGATCCATTCTTACCTTAATCCTATTTTAAAAATCCCTTTCACCACGTAAGTTCACATATTTAGAAGTGCTAAGCATTAGACTGTGGACATTTTTGAAGGGCTGTTGCTCTTTCTACCACAAGTGATCGACACACAGACAGACAGACAGACACAGTTTTAAATAGGGTTACTGGGGATCAGATGGGAAGGAGAAATCAGCCAAAAGCATCAGAGCCCTGGCCTTGCAACCCCATTGTCGCAAGCAGCCAAGTAGTTCATATGGGGAAGAGCAGACAAATACGGCAATGATCACATGTCCAGCAGGACATGATCGCGTGTCCCTTAAGAACAGTTTAAGACTACCTGGTTAAGACAGTAACTGACCAGTAGAAAATAAAGAGTTCGGCTAGCGTGGCTTAAGGAAGAATTTTCATGTAGTCAAAATAATGCACAGATATGAGAGAGTGCTTTAGAGAGATACATTCTGTTATTAGTTCTGTTAAAATACATGAAACGAATGACCGTTTTATGGGGCTGTTGCAAAAGAGAACTCAAAAGGAGAAAGGGGACTGAAGTAAATAAAATTTAAGATCCCTTCTTACGCAGCTCTCTGGGAACCCATTATATGTTCCTGTAATAAAAACTGAATAGCAGCAAGTCACATCCCATGTAGAACCATCAATATGAATGAGAGGGCAGAATGGCTAGGACCCGATTCTGAGTATGGTGGGTCTAGATTCAAATCCTGGCTCTACACCACCTCATTGGCCACCTACTTAACCTCACTGAGCTTCAGTTTTCTAATCTGTAAAGCAGGGGTGTTATGAACATTGAGCTTGATGACGTAGATCAAAAGATCTTAGCACAGTCGGGGCACATGCTTGCGGGCTCCGTCCCCGATGGGGGGCATGCAGGAGACAGCCGTTCAAAGACTCCCTCACCATTGATGTTTCTCCCTCTCCCTTCCTCTCTCTGAAAATTAATAAAAATATATATTTTTTAAAAAGGTCTTAGCACAGTCCCTGGCACACAGAAAAGCATTCAAAATGGAAGCTGTTAGAAGTCGATATTAAAATACTTAAACCAGCACAACCAACCTTATTTTCAGCCATGGAGCCATCTGAACACTCTGTCAGGTCTCTGCCATCCTCACAAGTGGAGGAATTAAACGAACAAACAAACAAAAAAATAACAACCTCCCAAGTGGAGGAATTAAACAAACAAACAAACAAATAACAACCACAACAAACACACATCCGTGTCCAGACAGGGTTAGAGACAAGCTTCGTGGCAGGGTGGGCGGCGACTTACACAATGTTGGCTGCCACTGCGCAGCCTGAAACGGTGATCATCACAGTCGCCTGGATCTGGTAATCGGGGTACAGCAGGCGCTCACACGCGAGGTACACCAGCACCCCAGTCACGGCCCAGACACACAGGATGGACAGCAGGGCTCCAAGGATTTCTAAGGATGCAAGCACACAGACATCCCCACACAAAGAATTATAACTCACCTTAACATCCCCAAGACTCATAAGACACTAATAGTCCCTCCCCCAAAATACAGGCTTCAAACTGGCTCACTCTGATTCACAAAGCAAAACTTTGGAAGGATTTTAGCACTAAGATGAAGCACTTTTACGTTGCATTTATAAAACAGCAGCACCTGAGTTCATTATGCTCCGTGTTACTAAGTAATTTGCAGCATACCATAAGTAATTAAAGCATATTAATTGCCGCCTACCCTTGCTGTTTCCTCGGGGATTTTAATTCAAACAGGTGCTAAATGATTGAAACTTATTAGGAGATGAAATAACGAGGCACAAAGAGTAAAATGTATTTAGTAATTTTGCCATAAAGCGTTTACAACGTGCCAGCACCAGTATCTTTTGTGGGTTAAACCAGTAAAAAGGGAGGGCTTCAGAGGGTACTTGAAAAGTGAGTTTCATTTGCCAACCCAGCGTACCATAAACACAGAGGTGAGCTCAGAGGTATGCCAACGCTCTAAAAGCATTTTAAGAGCAACAGTAAGGAAAAGAAACACCAGAATGTGGCACTTACATTAATATTTAAAGATAAGACAGTGTTCAATCTGCCTACTAAGTGAAGCACATTTGCTCACTTATGAGTTCCTCAACACCTCACGCCGCTCTGTAACTCAGCCTTGGCCTTGGACTCTAAAAGCCTGCAAGGGCCTGGAAGCATTCTGTGAGTCAGTGGTCAGGCCCAGCCCATAATTCTGACCTCACCTCTTTAGAGCAGGGCCCTAGGACAGGGTGTTTCTCGCTGTGGGAGGAGAGTTTCCTTGACTTGAGTCACTTGCGTGCAATCGTCGTGATTTTTGCCGTATCTACCTTGCCACCTGTCTCATTGGACACTTAATAGCCTCTTTAAATAAATTCACTTTTTACCCTTAGCTTCGTCCTAAACAAAGTTATCCGTGAAATTGCAGGTTTGACGTCCTAGTTGATTTCCACCCCTCTGTCTGTAGTGGTTGGTGCTGCCCAATACAGTAGCCACCCATCCCCCGTGGCTGTTTTAAATGGAAACAATGAAATTTAAAATCCGGTGCTTCAGTAGCACCAGGTCAGTAGCACCAGGGCGTAGCAGGGTGTTCCGTGGCCACAGGGTGCTCGTTACAGAACACCCCTGGAGCAGAGTTCCCCTGAGCAGCCCTGGGCAGTGCCCGAGGACGCCCATGCCCAGGATGAGAAAGGGGGAGCATTATTTGAAATTCCGAGTCCTTCCCATGTGTACAAAACATCCTGTGTTTAACAAACAGCGCTGGCCAATGGTATCAGAAAGGGTAAAGCGCAGGGAATAATTTATACAGACAGATGACGGGTGCTCAGCCAACAGTCCGTGTTTTCCGGGCACGGCTCTGTGGCGGGGCCGGGAAAGCAGCTTCAGATCATACTCTTTTTATGGATGTTTATTGCCTTGTCTCTCTCGCTCGCTGACTGTTAAAGGAAGGCAACTCAGCACACCAGTGACGATAAGTTGTTCGGTAGGAAACTAGAACCTCCTTTCAGTCTAAGCTGGCCAATCCGCCCTGCACGCTTGCCAGCCTCGGAGCTGTGGTCTGAGTCTGGGGTGCCTTCGGCGGAGCCTGGCCACCCCCGCTCTGCCCTCAGCTCTCCTTCACCCTCTGTCGCCGCGTCCCCTGCGGGAAGCTCTTCCATGTCTGCAGTCTTTTTGTGCATCTGCGCCTTACGTTGCAAAGCGCGAGGAGCCTTCCGCCGTCCTCTCACCCAGATGCAGAGTGACTTCGTGAGCGATGTCCTGGCTGGCACCGCAGCTGAGACCCTGGCGCCGGGGCGGTGGCCAAAGTGAGGCCTGTGATCCTGCTGCCCCATTGGAGCAGAGGCGGCCTCATTAACCTGGCTCGTAGCTGACTTACCATGGAGAGCGGGATTAACCCACATCCCCGCGTCCGTGCCTGTTTCATCCTGCGCGCTAGAGCTGTGCCTCTGGGGGGTCTCCGAGCCAAGCTTTGCTTTAACCCTTCTGGGTCTCCCCTTGGTGCGACTCTGAGGCACGGTGCCCCCTGGATGCTCCCTCGGTGAACTGTACCTGCTCGGTGCCACCCAAAGGTCAGGCGCTTGGAGGGAGGCTTCGCGGACAGCCATAGGGAGAAGAGGCTGAGCAGGAAACTGGTCAGGTCGATGAGGAGGTGGGCAGCGTCTGTGACCACAGCAAGGCTCCCCGCAACGCGGCCACCTGGGGGTGCACGACACCACACGGTCAGATTCCCGCGCACACAGGCCAGAGCTGGCCAAACGTCACCCACTCACGGAGCTTTAGGAGGGAAATCAACACCCATTCAGCCTACTTCTTTCTTCCCAGTTTGACAAGGAAAGAAACAGAGACCCAGAGAGTGGGTAGGGTTTGAACATGTAGACACGAGTTTCAAGGGCAAAGCCGTCGCTGGGGGAGTAAAGGCACAGAGATTGGAAAGTACGGGCGTTCTCGGAGGCCGTCCCTGTTCGCCTGGGGCCAGGATGCGGAAAGGCCAACGCCAAGTGGCGAGGCTGGGGAGGGACCGGCCAGGCTCAAGGGGCCTCACGTTCCAGCTGAGGACCTGACTTTGTAAATCAGATGACGCGGTGGCCCACGGATGCACTTTTATTTATTTCCTTGCCTTGTAGTTTTACCATGATCTTTACCACTTTGTCTTCTCTACTAATTTGCATTACCCGCCTGCGTGCGAGACCCCTGTTGTGAATGGTCGGGACACGAAGGAGGAAGGGCAGGCACCTTCCAGCAGAGCAGTGGCGTCCTGCCTGGCTCTTCCCTCCACTTCTCTGCTTCCCTCTAATTCTCCTTTGAGAAAAGGCCTGCAGCCTCCAAAATTGAAGGCGAGGGAAAACCTTGTCTCTTCCTTCCCGAACAGGGCTTGTTGCGTGAGAGCAATAACCTTTATTACTTCCACTGCGTCTTCCCAGCAAAGAGCTTTTGCTGACTGATTGTCCTCCCAGCAGCTGTTTATTGCCTTCTGTGCTAAAAAGCGACGGAGGCTGTCAGTCATCAGCTCCTCCGTCGTCAGACTCACCTTGTCGACTAATGATTTTTAAAAATTACACGTATGGCTCGTGATTGCAGTGATCCCCACAGACTGCTGGCTCTCGCTGCAGTTAATAATGGGTTTGTCAAAGTTTAATGGTCTGAAGGAAAGGAGTCTTCAGGCTTGTTACTGAGCTGTCAGTGTGAAAATCGCAATGATTCATTAGCCAAAAAGTAACATTTTGCTAACAAATCAGCTGTCCTTCCAATTACCCTCTAATGTCGCTTGATCTGCCACACTGGGGCCTGATAATGAAGCTGTGTTAATAATGCATTATTGCTTGCCCAGAAAATGACTACACGCAGATAAGCAGTGTGCCCCCGTCTCAGCGGTGAGTGACGCTGGTGACTCTATGTGCTGAGCTCAAACAGTGGCCCAAGTCAAGGAAATGAGGCCTTACGGGGTCCCTTCCACAGGCTCAGCTGAGTCGGGAGGCAGCGGAGAAAGAAAAACGGCCTGGCCTTGGAAGAAGCACGTTAATGTGGAGGCCCAGGAACCAAGAACCATTTTGCAACCATCAGAACTACTTTTAAGAACCATGCAGAAAATTGTGGGCAGTCGTGCTGAGTGACTGGGGATCGAACTGTTTGCAAGAGATAGTTTGCAACTGAATTTGCATTTGCTTCTGAACGCATGGCGTACTACTGGCAATTAATTCAATCATCCAGCCGGCATTTACTGAGCCCTTACTGTGCATGGTGCAGGGATAAGATTTACAAAGATGTCAAAAAATCCCAGCCCCTCTCTCCGGTGATCTCACCGTCTAACACTCGCTGTACTGAAGACATGCATTACGGATAGGCTAGAAGACTAGAAAACCACTCGCAACGGGAGCGTTGCGGACCTTTGCACAGGAGAGAGGGGTAAGAATTGGCTAGAAGAGAAGGGTTTTCTAAGGAAGGGGTGAGAGCAGGAACGAGAACAGAGAGAAATGAAAGGACATGGAACCTTTGTGGGAAAGCAGGAGGTGTGGAGTGCTGGGGAAATAGTGGGAAATTAGACTGGAAAGGTGGAAGGGGCACCCGTGTGGGGGGCATTATAATTCATGCCAAGGAAACTGAATGCTATTCTACTTATGATTTTGAGGCAAGGTTGTGACATGTTCAGATCTCAGGGATTTCAACAGGACTAAGTAAAGTAATACAGTGGAAAGCACTCAGCACAGTTCCTGGCACATAGCATTAAATAAATATTAGTTATTGACATCACAATGCCAGGAGTACCAAGATCATATTATAATATGAAATCTCTGAACATAATACACATCCACAATGGGCAAAATTGTTTTTAACAGAATATATTTAAAAGAAATGATATTTGATAAAAGTCAGCACTCATCCTTGATTATTGGTTAATCATTAAAAAATTAGAACAAGTAGAATACTTCATTAACATAATAAAAATACTTAACCTCTCAGAAAACATTTTATTCAACAGTTAAGTAGTTGAACAAAAAATGGGGGACATCTGTAATAATTTTTTTCAATTCTTAAAACATGTCTAGTTTCACACTGATTTAGAGTAAATGCGAAAAACTGAACAACAACAAAATGGTATTTATCTTCTCAGTAGCTGGGGAAGGCTTACTAAGCACTAAAATAGTGAAAGAGTAGTAAAATAAAAAAAATCAGCTAAAAATGAAATATTTGATACAATTATCTATATAAAATTTTACACTTCTCCAAGTCAAACCAAAAATTAAACAAAAATTAAAAAGTAAACAACAAACTGGAAAAGTACTTCTAACAAATATAATAAGTTTATCATCCTAATATATAAAGAGCTCCAGAGATCAATACAGAGAATTAAAAATTATCTAAAAAACAGACATCAAGAGGCCAGCAGGAAATGCACTTACAGGGAAATACAGATCACTAATAAGCATGCAGAAAATATTCTAGCAGTAGCGAGTGTTAAAATAAAGCATACTCATGTATACATTAACAAAGATTTTTAAAAGATTAAATTAAGTTCTGGTAAGGTTTGGAGAGAAATCATTCTCATGCAGACCTGGCCAACATAGGAATGGCTTTTAGCTGTCTGGATAGCTGTTTGGCAATATGCATCAAGGAGTAATAAAAATATTCATGTCCTTCAACCAATTATTTCCACTTTTAGGACTGTCTTTGAAGGGATTAATCAGAAAAGCAGGCAGAGTTTTATTTAAGATTTTTCATTGCAGCATTGTCCATAAACAGGAAAAAAATTCCTAAATTTCTAATAATAGAGAAATGGTTATTTAAATCACAGTGGAGTGTACATTGTTCAGGCATAAAAAATGCTTTTAAAGAGCATTTGATGGCATGGTCAGAAGCATTCAGTATGCTCTCAGTTTGTTCAAAAGAAAACTGAGCTATGAATAGAAAATATATTGTACAGAAATACTTCATAATTTTGTTGGCAGTTATCACTCACATGTGGAATAGTGATAAATTTTATATTGTTTCCTTCTATTTTCCAACGTGTCTACAATGAGCCCACTGTTACTTCATACTTACAGAAAATATTAACTCTTACTTTACAAGAACCTTGTAGATCCTCCCCCCATAACGATGTAGGATTTTGTTCGCTTGTTTAGTCAGAGAAGTCTTCTTGAGAAACACTCACCCACGACCTCTGCAATCATGAAAACGAAGCATATTCCCGAAGCAGCGCAGAGTTTCCACTTGGCGTGGACTTGCTCGCTCGCCCTGTTCCCTGTGGCCGTGGCATTGCCGTGACAGTGATAGATGGCCCCTGACTCCGGCTCCTCCGGCTTCTCTCCGGAGCATCGGCCTCTAGTCACGGGTTTCTGCTGGAGGCCCACCCTGCGGGTGAGTTTGACAGCAGCAAGAAATGAACATGGTTGGAAACACCCCTCATAGCCCTACCCATTCTCCGAACCACTGTCAGGCCTTTTGCCACCTAACTAGGAAGTTAGAGTTCATGGCTCCTTCTACCAGAACTATCAAGTGTCAGGAGCCAGCAAAACGTTTCCACCTGAAGTCTCAACTAAAAGTTTTGCTTTTATTCAAACTCGTATCCAGTCTCTACCACCAGTGATTACAATGTATCAAAGGAGCAGGAGAAAGGCACAGACTCACTTTGATGCATTTCCTTCCCAGTGACTGCATTTTGGAAAGATATTGGGACACTGTCCCACAGATGAAAAAGGGAGTAGGAACCGTGTTAGAGATGTGTCACCTGATGATTCAAAAATGTTAGATATGTGAGCCACCTGATGAGTCAAATTTCCATCACCGTCACTTTCTTCTCCGTGGCAACATTGTTAATAGATCATAGCACTTTTTCCTGCTAAGCACACGTGGACCCCAGAACCTTAATGAAAGTTACAGTGGAAGCTGAAACTTACTTACACCTCCTGTAGCAAACAGTACATAGCAGTTCTGCTAGTTCTGCTCAAATAGGGATCATTATGTAGAGCCATTTATAGAATTATAGAGTTTCACCGATGGAAAGATTCTAGATAATATTTAGTCCAACCCCATTGTTTCTTAGCTGAAATAATTAGTGTTCAGAGAGGGTAAGTAATGACCTGAGGTCAAAGAGCCAGGGAATGGTAGAGCTGGGATTCCAAGACTATTGCTTTTTCCAGGTCACCCCACTTTGCTTCCCTGCCTGAACATCACCGTCTTAGACCAATCTTTACTGATGCAAATGTTGTTGTTCATAGATCTTGAACTAATCAGATTTACATTTTTTTAAATAAACTTATTAGAAGGCATTAATAAGCTTCTTAGAATTAAGAGCTTTGTATTCATGGCTATGAAAAGTATAAAAACAAAAATAAGCCTCCAGTTGAGCTATTTCATTTGTCTTATCACCATCTGGAATTAAAGGTCTGCAGGCTTTGACTTAGATGATGATTTTGATTATGAATCTAATTATCATTATATTTGCTTTTTCTGAATAAAATAATATATTCATTATAGAAAATCTGGAATTACAGAAAAGCGCAAAGCAGAGGGGGAAATCACTGGTAACCTTACCTACAATAGACAATTACTATGTCGTTGTTTAGCTTTGTAATATGCAAACACACTTTTTATACATAATTATAGACCATTTTAATTAGGATATTTTTTATTGCAAATACAGAAAACAAAGCTCATGCTAGGTTAATTAACAAATGGGGATTATTGGTTCTGCAGCTGAAAATGTCTGGAGGTATTGGGGCTCAGGCTGGTTTATTAGGACTCTCGATTCATTGCTTTGCAGTTCTAACTATTCTTCAACCTCAGTCTGGTTTTCCTCATGGTAGTGGCACGGTTGCCCAAGGTTGTTAGGGCTGCATATTTTCTGTTTCTTGTGCAAAGAGTGAGAGTGTCCCCATTTCCAACTGCTAAACAAGAGTTCTCAGTTGCATGCTGATTTGGCCAAATAAAAACCACTCCCTATAACCAGAGGAATATAGATGGGCTGATTGGCTCAGACCTTGTTTTATTCAGAAGACTGGCTAAACCCAGCCATGCTGACTCCTAGAGCTGAGAATGGGGTAAATGCTACTTAAATCACAGGTTGCAACTGGGTGTGAGTGGGCCAGAATGGACTGTGGGTGAAATGACAGTGTCATCTTAGGATCTTGCTAAAGACACAGCTTTGGAACCTGAATCTTAGCTGTATGCATCGTTAACATTTTCTCAATGTATTAAATATTCTACAACATTATTTTTACCCTATAGAGACCATTATATTTAATATAGATATGTCACAACATAATTTACTGATTAAATGAATTGTCCAGTTATTGGCTCAGATAAGCACCACTTCTTATAGTTAATCTTTGATCAATATATTATTATTTCTTTGAAATGTAATCCTAGAAGGGAAATTACTTGGTCAAAGAGTACCCATATTTTTAAGGACTTTGGTGTATATTGCCAAATCAACTTCAGAATGTTTATACCAGTGATGTTAACAGCACTCAGGATTTTGAGCAGTTCCACATAATCTTCATATCAGAATAAGAACCGCTTGGCAAGAGGCACATAAAGTATTTCTACTTATTTTTTTTGCCTTTGTAATGTGATGCATACCCTGATCATAAACAACCATATAATGGAATAGTGTGGGTCACCAATGGTCATCAACTCAGAGGACCTGAGAGCTAATAAGACTGCATGGAAGAGGCCCCCCCTTTCCTTGTGCTGAGAAGACACCATCAGCAATGCAGGGTCACCAATTGTTCTTGCCCTGTTTATATGACCACTGGTTTATTTTATATTTTTCATGAGTCTCATGGCAAGAGAAAACCAGGTGGTAAGGTGACCAGGAGAGAGAACCTATCCTGGAGCAGTTTAGAAGGCAGACAAGGGAGGAATCCCACTAGGGCACAGCCTGTGGGCAATGCCACAAGGGAAAAAATGCAAGAACCATGGCCAATTTTTACTTTAAATACTGCTTTCCTGTGGACGTCAGATTAACCAATATGGCTATACTCTGAGCTGAGATTGAGCCTGAAGCACTAAGCCAGACAGCCAAAAGTGGGCCTCAGAGGGCTCACTGACATTGAGTGCAGTGTGTGCGTATGTGTGTATGTGTTTTATGGGGCCAGTTAAGAGTCCGCAGTCTTCACTGGGCTCCCAAAAGAATCTGCGATTCTGAAAGACATGACAAACCCAAGTTAAAATGCATCCCCACCATCTCATCAGAGCAAAGTGGCCTACGTGTCAAGGGTGCAGTGCAGGCTCTTGAGCTGAAAGATAATGTGAATTTCAAGAAGAATTTTTAAAAGAAGGCTCTAAAAAGCAAATGCTGTGATGCATCAAAAAGGTAAATGTAAATTTGCTGCCAATGAATTAAGTACCATGGATTCCCACACAGTATGATATGGTTGAGGCTCTGAAGAGCAGGAACAGTAGACCAGAGCGAAGAAATTTACTATAGCATCCCAGAGAAAAAAAAAAGAGAAGAAACAGGTTCCTAACTGGTAAAATGAGGGATCAGGATAAATAATCTCTTCCAGGTTTTATGGCTTTTATTTGAAAAGAAAAGAAAAAACAAATTTGACAGGTTTTTATCATCACTGTACCCTGCAAACTATACCCATTTGTGAGGCAAATGAGACCCTATAACTATGAATGGTTGGCTCTGTGTGCGTAACAGTGCTAATGGCCTATTTTAATGAGAAGGGAAACACTGTTATTTCAGTCATGTAGAGATGCTCTATTAGTAGCGTCCGCAGTGTTTACAATGTGTTGTACACAATTTCTGCCCGGCCTAACATGAGGCTTTATTGATTACAAACTCAATAAATCATATCTAATATTACTTTCTAAGAAAAATAATTCTTTTAAGGTGAGATAATAGATGTGCCCGGTTCTTTGTCATACATTTTCAAAGCAAAGTTATAAATATCCTAAGAGAGAAAGTTTTTCTTTGCAGTTGCTCTGACGTTTGATTCTATCAAACACAATGTTGCTGCTCTTTGAAATATTAATTCTGTTCCATGAAACAAACAACGTTACATGTATTATTAATGGATAAATATTTTCTTAAGTTCTGCTCCTAGCATGAATTTATTTCAGGTTTTTATTCACTCATCTATCTGTGTTGAGTGTGTTTCTCTTTGCTCCCCACTTGGATTGAATTCCCCAAACACGCAAAACTCATTCTTACACGTCTCTGCCTTTACCAGGCAATATCTTCCGTCCGAACAGCTTTCCCTCGCCCAGCTTCCTGTGCTAGGTTTCTCTAACTTCACTCTAACTCCCCTTTATTTTTCAGTTCTCGATCTCTCACTTCTGAAAAGCATTCTCTGACGGCCCGAGTCCAGCTAAGACCTAGGTTTCCTTCAGCTATTCCCATTGAACGCCCCCAGAATGACACTCATGTGGTATTTTATAAGCTGACTTTTTCTCATATGTATTCCACATTAGGCTCAAAGTTTCTAGAGAACACAGATCTGGGACTGGGAACCTTTGCTTCTCCATTATATATCCAGGTGTGTCCAATCAATAATTTTTAAATAAGGGGAAATGAATGAATATATTGCGTGTGGCTCTGTGGGAGATATTGAAAGGAACTCGAACCATGTAGAACATTAAACTCAGCTATTCTTGTGATAGGTGTGTATATTCAATAATGGCCTCATAGGATTAAGAAAGTAGCAAATAATTTATTTGGATGCAAAGAGAGAAGCACTAGCTGGTGTGGCTGGAATGCGGGTGGAGGGGAGAATTGGCAGACCATGATGCAAGAGGTTTAATTTTAAGATCAATGTAACCGCAGTTTTGTCACATAGATGAAAAGCCTCCCTTCTTTCTAAATATAATTAAATAAAATTACTATCTGTTTTAAAAGTAGAAATACTCGAGGAAAAGAAAGAGAAGCACATTCGATTGTGTGTGTCTGTTTTCTGGAGGGAAATCCACAGATGAAAATACATTCAGAAAATGTGTCCTTCATGCTCTTAGGATATTGTCCAAGACTCAAATGAACTACACAGAGTACCGCATGTTTCAGGATATGAATTACACAAGCCAGCCCACAGTTTATAAAACTGTACAAAATGCCCCAAGTTGCCCAGCAAAAGTTTCCAATTTCGAAGCTGTGGGATGTAGGGATTTGCTGAGGACAGAAAACTGTGCGGCACAAACGGATGTCTGTTACCTGTCTGGGGTGAAGGCGTACATCTCGGTGGCTTTGTCATTCACCAGGTGAGCTCTTTCGAGACACTCCATGGTGGCCAGGACGGGAGCCTTGCTGCTGGCGTGGTTACCTGCGGTGGAGCTGCTGCTGCTGAACTCACTGGCCGGTTTGGGAAGCAAAGCAGCATTACAATTATTCACACACTTTCCAAAGAAAAAAATAAAAAGGCTTCCGGGACTTAATAGAACGAGCCTCCTACATCAATGTTCTTGGTAGAGCTGCTGAAATTACAGCCTCCCCGAATATCACCTGCCTCGTTCTCTCACCCACAGAAACTCCTTTCCTAGAGACCTGCAGGTAGGATCCCATGGAGCGTGTGGGTGTGGGTGTGGGTGTGGGTGTGGGTGTGCGTGCTTCCCAGGCTATCTGATTACACTGTGCATCCTAAGGGGTAGAGGAGCTCAGGGTTTCCTTCTAATTGCTGATGTAGAGGTTTGGCCTTCAGCACACACCTGGGCGATCCGCAAGCAGCCACCCTCCTGTGCAATAGCCTCATTTCCCCCCCTTCCTCTTTCTTTCCTTTGTGTGTGAGTGTGAGAGTGTGTGTGTGTGTGTGAGTGTGTGTGTGTGTGTGTGAGTGTGTGTGTGTCAACCTAAAAGCATTTCTCCTGCCATTTAGTTCTAAGATGACCTCTAAGCATCTGTCAGGGTTTACTTCCCTTCTCCTGGGACCATGTGGGGATCTCACTACTGAACAGAGGACAGGGGTCATTAGCTACTGGAGTCTGTAGCCTGAGACAGTTCCTGGTGCGGCAGCTTTGAAACCCTTTTGACAGGCAGGCGGAGGGCAGACTCAGCTTCTAAATAAATAACAGCCCCCAGCCATACAAGGACTGGCATGATCTGTGTTCTCCTGGCCAGGGCACCCTCTGCGAGGATCAGACTCACCCAAGGAAGCCCTGTCAGGCAAACCAGTCACAGCTCTTAGGAATGGAGTTTTCTGAGCTGATCCCAGAGACCTTCAACCACAGACTCCTAGGAGTTTACATTTGATTTCACTACAAAGAACTTTCCAAATAAGAAAGGATATGATAGTCCAGGGGCAACGGCCTGGTCCAGCGGCAGGCATTTGTTTGGGGGCCAGAGGGTGTCTGGGGCCTGTATGGATGCACGCAGGGTGGCCAGGGCCCGGTGGAAAGGGGGAGCAAACCTGACCCCTGAGTCCTCTCAGGCTTCTTCCTCTGGCAGCACTCACTTCCTAGTGAGAAAGCGCAGAGTGGTGTAGTCCAGAATGGCCCTGTGGCCCAGCATCCTGACAGTCTGTCCATCTTGAGGAGCAGAGATCTCAACAGCCAAATAAATGTCCCCAGAAGGAGAAGGGGTGTCAGTGGCAATTGCAACAGCCAGTGAGTGGGGAGAGTCCTCTTCGGCTGAGAGGGAGCAGGCAGGTCTCCTGCCATATCCGTGGTGAAGCTGCACCTCTCGCGTAAGGTTTCACAGGCTGTAATATTAATTCTAAGGTCCTTTCACATGACCCCGTTGCCTAGAGGATTATTAACTGGGCTCTGACTCGTGGAAACCAGGGCAATGGCTCTGGGAGGCCAATTTCTCCTGCAAGGCCAGGAGAAATTCTGGGTCTTGTGTTAGCAGAATCGAAAACAAGCTAATTCCTTCTCACGTACTTAACTTTGCAAAGTAATGTAGGAAATAGGAAGCCAGAAAAGAATCACGAATCATCCGTGTGCCACGCTGCCATGTGTTACAGCTTGAATTTTTTCTGAGTCGTTTCTAGCACGTGTGAGAGATAGAATTCAGGTGAATGAATGTCATCAGCTGAGGAAACTGCTGAAAACTGGGTTGAAACCCATTAAGGATACGTGCAAAGCAGAGGAGCAATCTTCAAATGGAGGAAAGGATATTCGCCTGTAAATATCAACAGGAAACCAATAACCTGGAAGTTTGAGATCCCGTGCGAAGCGTTTGTCACGAGCATGTACGCGGATGCGCGGAAATACTGATAGCTGCTTGCGATTCTGAGCGTGGGGTGCCCACTGTGTTGCTAACGTGAGCTGCTTGTGGAGGCAAGGATGGGAAGGAGAGGTGAGGAGGGCGGGTAGGGCTGACGTGGCATAGGTAAGGTGGAGACGGGAGAAGGGGGCATGGGGACCCAAGTAAAAAGACAAGGGAATAAAACAGTACACCCAAAAACGTATTCTGTCATCTCTCCTCTTTATCTGTAAGTTGAACTATATAAAATTGCCATCTTTTATAGTCCCAGTAGAGCCTACAATAAGCAATTTCGTACGACTGGACTTAAATATATGTATATGCACACAGGTCTACACACCTGTAAGTGTATATGTGTACGTGCATGATACACTTAAAAAGAAAAAATACATGTGCCTATTTTAAAAGTTTGGAAAAATTAGGTACTGTTTACTATTTTCATCAAAGGTCTGTGCATTTCCACTCGCTGCCCTTGGAAATAACTGCTCTGCTGTACGCCAAAGCTTCTGATGTAAGTAGCGTAAGAGCAGGGAGTGAGGGGTGATGGCAAATAAGCTTTCATGTTTAAAAACTGTAAGTTTTGCTGCAGTAAATTTAGATGCGGATCAGTTATCGTCAAGAGTTGCCTGCGTGCTGTGTTACGTAGTGTTCGCATGTCGACCCCCTTACCCCCTTACACGCTCACGGCAGCTCCGCCTTTACCCGCCTCTCCCCAGTGGATTGTCAGCACGTTTATGAAAACTGTCCCACCCCGGACTCCCCTAGACAGGCACTGCCAGTGAGGGCCGGTGCCCCGCTCAGGCTCCACAACAGTCGCAAAATTTGTGTGTGGAGAGCAGCGCAGATCACAAAGGCACATCCCTGTCCTGCTGACAGTCGGGCTGGGCGGGGTTATGCGGCTCGCCCCAGTTTCCTAGGCAACCGGCTCCCAGCTCGCCCTGGATTACAGGTTGTCCTTTCCGCCCACTCTCCATCATCAGCTTGCAGCAACTGAAGGAGCAAGTGCAATTTAGAACAGTTACCTCTGGGAATAAATATTCTGTCAGCCACAAGAACAGCTCATCTCCGACACAACCAGGAACTGGTTGGGCTCTCCAGTGCTAGCGGTTGTCAGCAACAATTTCTTAATAGGATTTTACAAACAATAGCTCATACGTGTACAGAAATAAGTTACCCAAGTGTCTTACACCTAGTTTGCTATTTCACTTGCAGAAAGGATGTGTGTATTTATGCAAAATCACTGATTTTGTCTAGTCCCTAGACATTAAAGTACGGAGCTTTTATGGTTTGCATTCACAAAATTTAAGCTCATATTTCAGAAATATGAAATACTTGTTTGCATGTAACTATCCTTTAAAAGGAGACATTGTTTGCATGTAACTATCTTTTAAAAAGAGACATGAAAATATGCTTGTTTTTAAACACTGTGGGTTTTTTGTCCTGTTTGGTTCTTTTTAGTTTGTGGGGAAAGGCAGGCAGTATACAGTGAAGTGGCTTAAAGCAAGAGCTTTCAGATTAGACTTAGTTCAGTCTCTGGTTTGACCACTTTCTTACATGCATGACCTTGAACAAGTTACCTGACCTCTGTGGTTTTCAGTTCCTCATCTGTAAAATGGGTACATTTATAGAATCCATCTTAGAGAGTTCTTGTGCAGAGTAAGAGAGCTCATGTGTATAAAAGTGCTTAGCAGAGTTATCTGGCACATCACCCAGTTTATATACAAGTGAGTCGCTAGGGACTTAGCCTTGTCCAAGTAAAATGCCTCGGCCATCCCTGAGAAACGGGCCCCAGTCTTAGCAGAAGACTACGAATTACCCATGAATGGAAGAATCCAGCAAGGACGTGGAGGTTGTCAGAAAGAAACCTGGGGATTCTAACCCGCCATCAGCCCTATGAAGTCGGCACGTCCCTCAAACTCTACTCTTTGGGCTCAACTTTCTAAAATAGTAGATCTGTGCCTGCTTCATACTATCTGCTTAGCAGTAGAGTGCCATTCAAAATGTGTCCTTGTTACTGACACAACAGGAGAGGAAATGCAAACTCAGTCAGCGCACTCACCTGCTACAGATTCTGTATGTATACATATTCCCACGCAGACTATAAAGATACTACTTCCAACTTGGGTAGCATTTCCTTAGGAAGGTGGTTTTATGGTTATTACTATAGTGTGAGGTTTTTCAAAAGTTCCATCCAGGAACTTGAAAACAAAGACATTGGAAATTTAATTGGATTGTATTTTAAAGAACGCTATGAAAATTTCATTTTAATCTTAAGTCAACATGTATAAAACATAAACCATTCCCTGATATTTCATACTCTACTTGAAAAATGAAATGAAAGTCATCTGAATTTTATTTTCTTTTTGATAAATTGGTACTATATAACTTTTTTTTTTGCCATTTTGATATTTAAAGAGATTAAGCTGTAGAAATGTTCCAGTGCCAATACAATTTGTATTTTTTGAAAAAAGAAAGACTTGATAAAATATTGATACTAAAACAATAAAAGAAAGATTTTATTAAGCTTGATAGATGCAAATAAATAATACAAAAATAAACACAGTTTTTTGGTGGGAGAAATTATTAGGGCTAGGTGGTTAAAATGTATATGAAATATGTATTTGATTGATAAATCTCCATGCCCCACACTTCCTTTCCCAAGCCCTCTGCAAACTTAAACTAATTAACCCTTAAGTGCACCTTCTGAGCTAGATATGCTTGCCTGTGCCTTGCAAACTCCAAAGCTGTATATGTCTCTCTAGTTTATTTACATTGCCAAGCGATTGTATATGTCTCTCTGTTTCTGTTTACATTGCCAAGCAAAAGAGGGTTCCAGGAACCTAAGCCATGATTTTAAGGCATTAGAATAAGAAACAGACAAAAACCTACTTTCAAATATTCTGTCTCCTTGATCTGCAAATGCACAGAGTGCCACCCAAAACCAAAGCACTGGATTCCTGAATTTAAAAAAGAGAGTCCTCTTGTCCTTATCTGCAATGCCACCGTTTAATTTTCATCAGTACAGCTTACTTTCCTTTCCTGAGAGGCCTTGAGGGGCCCATAATTCCTCTTAGGAGAAAGATTT